TTATCGATAGAATCTTGTTTTCGTGAGCGTTGTTGCCAGCTCGTCGCGAAGCGTCCAGCAATCGCAGACGATCAACTAATTCGTTTGGATTGTCCCAATGAATGTAATCGAATCTATCGTTCGTGACTCGCATGGTTGACGGTACGCGACCCGCGCCCATCTTTTTCGCGCTGCTGCCGTGAATAAGCGGAGCGATAACGAACTTGTATTTGTATCCTTTATTTCCTAAAACAGATTTTTTAGCGTCATGGTCGCGTTTATGAGCGTTCGTTGTTAACAATATACTTTTGTATGTTAATTTATCCTTTTCCGTATATGTGAGACTATCAGGATTTTTCATGAAGATTAATTCGTATAAACCGGGGGTACTGATGTATTTAATTTCATCTATAAGTATGGACTCATCCGCGTCTACATCGAATCGCCTATTGCCGAGCATCGCGCCTTTCGCGCTAATGTACACTCCGTAAACGTGATCGATCTCATTTGGCGCTTCTCCGCCGAGAAGAGCCCCCATGTACTTTCGTCCTAAGTATAAATGTGGTCCGTATATACGTTTGTGTATTGTAATGATATTGTAAATATGTATGTATAGAAACTAAAGTTAAATCTTATTATGACATATTTTTTAAATATTTAAAATTTCTTATAGTACTAATTATTTTTAATCATTTGTCGGAAAATCGATACATTTCTCGTACAATAAAATGTATGATTTTTCCTTTTGTTGTCTCCTCGGGAGCGCTTCGCTAGGCGAAATAACGTCAGAGTTATCGGAAAATATGAAATAACCTATATCTTCCATCGGTGCCAATAAATTCTCTAAATACTGATATTTAGGCTGCTGCAACGACTTCGAGTAAACGTAAACGTTCTTGAAGCGTACACCGTGCGGGCTTTCCAACAAACTTATTAACGCGTTCGTTTTACCGCAATTAGAGGGACCGCAAATGAGGCAGCGAATAGCGCTCGGTAATAGACGACCGTGTCTGCGCGCTTCCTCCAATGGTCGCGCCCTACCGTCGAGATTCGTCACTCTTATCGCGATCGGCTGCCGCACGAAGCGCATTCCTCTCGCCGCGAGGCAGGGCGAGATCTTTTTATTTATATACGAATAGATCGCCGTCGACCGCGCAGTAGCGAATCGCGCGCGGTGAATCAAGATGTTTATCTTACTAGTAGATGGTGACGATATTCTCGATTTCACCACCGATCAATTGCGATTTATCCCGAAAGTAATTTTACTAAAGCACTTCGGTCGCTATGTGGAACGATTGTGGGAGAAACTGCCCGAACATATAAGAGTGGATCCGGAGGTGCGGCGCTACCGTCGATGCCTGGAGCATTACAATCGTCCCTGGCAACGAACGCACATCGACGGCCCGGCGCCGCTCGTTAAAGATTGCGGCGAATGCAATTCGCGAAGCAGCGGTACGGTGTAATCGGTGATATCAGCGGCGCCGGCTTATTGAATAGAGCGATAAATGCGCTCCCCTTCGAATTACATATACCCGGATATCAATTTTGCGGGCCGGGTACTCGTCTCGCGAAACGATTAGCGCGAGGCGATCGAGGCATCAATCCTCTGGACGCGGCCTGCCGCGAGCACGA